AAGATTTTTGGGTCCTTATGAGATTTGAAACTGACGCACTCGGGTTTAGGCCGCTTCTCAAATAGCTCAGTCGTAATGTCTCAAATTTTGAAGTCAAGTGACTCAAGTTGTAATCTCAGAGATATCACAGGTATATTTTGTTGAGCAGTTTCAATTAACACGGAACTAATTTCCAAGATTTTCTGTCAACTACGTAACATCTTATCACAGTACACTTAACACTGAACCTCTTAAGCTAGTTTTAGAATAGCAAATCGGTCGATAAAACTTAATCAACCGTAAATAACTAAACTAGTACGTTATTGGTCACACTACTCAGCGATTATTCGGTTACTATTATTGATCAACTCACAATGGTTAAATTTTGCCAGAGTTGATACAAAAAGGCCAATAAATGGTTCACCCTATTTATTATTATTTTTTTACATGACTTAACCATTTATTTTTCATCCATTATTCTCACATACATACATAAATGTGCTAATGAAATTAACTGAATGAGTACTGTGCTGTTTTTTTTTTCAAAAAAGCAAACGATATTTGTTTAGCACTAACAACAATGTGATATATTTCTACCTAGCTTTTTCGTCTTAAAACTGTATATCTGAATTGAGTGAAAAAATGTATAGTCTGTGTGTTAAAACTAAAGAAATAGTTAATGATTATGAGAGATTTTCATAATTGAAATCATGAGTCAATTGATTCTAGACCACCATGAAAAACTTGGAAGCACTGAACGGAAGTAAGAATATAACATCATAATCTATGTTGATTAGATCTTGATAACTTATACATCAATTGTCATTATACAGAATATTTCTATAATGTCAATATAAATAAATAAGTCCTATGAGATGAAAACACTTCTCTTTATGATAATATTGAATAAGTATAGTGCAACTAACTAATTTTAAATATTTGAATCATTGTATATTTCAATCAATTGATTTAAAGGTTTAGTTCATGTCATGAGATTTGATGGTTGTCCACTTAGAATTATGTTAAATCTCATGTATATACTACAAAAAGGCCCTTTTTCAAATTTCATAAGTTTTGTAGTTTTCATTGAAGTAGATCATAGAGTTTATTTACGTGAAAGACTAAAATATTTAATCTTTCCGATCATATTTTATTTTATTACCGTAGTTAAGTATAAATTAATTTAAAGAATGAAATAGTGATTTATCTTGTCTAATAATATAATTAGTGGAATTGTGAACCTCTATTGATACAAATATTTAGGAAGTCTGTGTTAAGTTCATTACTTGATTAATGCAGAATACGGTTCATCATGTTCCAATTGGATGGAAACTTTTCGGCTCTTTTAGGGCCTCTAGAGGTTCCGTTGTAATTCATGAAAGCAATCCCAACAGTCTGTCATACTTACAGTGACAAAATGTACTGCAACTTGGAATTCTGACCAAGATGAAAGAATGAACAAGTGAAGCAAAAACCAAGATGATTTTATAGTTCAAAATGTCAGGGTTGAAAAATAATATATGCCTCTGTGCCATTACATTAGAGTCATTTCACTCAAGGAAAGACAAGATTGAATTTAATCCACGTCACTCAAACTGTTTCTTTCGGTAATACAAAAATTGTTTGAGCTCCAGTTTTTTTTAATACTGATAATTTGCTCTCTTTTCATGCTTTTGTAGAATTATTTCAATGTAGTACACCGTACCAGTCCTTAAGTTTTTTTTGACTGAATGAATTGAAAAAAAAAACTATTCTATGTATTGTAACCGACTTTGTACAATGTTCTAATAGCAATATGTTAACGTTTAAAAAATGTATCTTTACAAAACTCAACAAAAAAAATGCTTAGTAATTAACTTCTAAAAACAAATTATTTTCAACTGTAAAGTTTGTATTTTATTGGAATTATTAAGATACAACATTGAAAGCAATGGGCGGCCGTTTCGTTCTATTATGACACTCCTCAGCAGTGTGCATCCACGATCCCTCACTCACGAGATTCGAACCCAGGACCTACCAGTCCCGTGCACTGCGGAGGAGTCTCATGATAGAACGAAACAGCCGTCCAGTGCTTCGAGGTTTTCCATGGTGGTCTAGGTTCAATTGACTCATGATTTCAACTATGAAAAATACTGAAATCTCCACAAAACCCTTTCTGACAACACTGAAACATAACTTTTGACTCATATATATTAATAAAGTGAAAATTCCCATTCCTTTTTATTTATCATATATATTAGTTAATGTTTATGACTGCTATTAATCAAATCCTAACAACCAATTTATATGAATTAAAATTCACTCCATTGTATAAGCTAATGGCTATTTGAACTCAATAGCTAAGTGGATAATGCAATAGCGTTTGAAGCGAAAGGTACTGGGTTCCAGTTCCGGAGTGAATATCAACTCTGAAATTCAGGCACATCCAGCTGATGAGTCCTAAATAGGACGAAAAGAGAATCCTGGATTGCACAGCTAGCCATCACCCATCTCTGTTTTAAGATGAAACATAAGATTAAAACTTAACAAAGAAGTAGGTCTTTGTTATACCACTTCAGTAGAAAGTGTGTATAATCTCAATTATTTAAGTCATTACAATCTAATTATGTCTCTTTAAATCTTCATGAAGTGGAATGTTTCTTACAAATAATTTATTATTATTTTAATGGTAGTGAAACAAACGAATGATGGACTATAATAATCAGAAGGGGTTTAGTGAAGATTTCAGTTGAAATCATAAGTCAATTGAAGCTAGACCACCATCATATGCTCACTGGTGACTGGCTTTAAGGGATGTTTCCTCGAATTCTAGTGAGAAGCAATGACCAGTGGAGTCCAACCACGTCTGTTATGAGATATCAACTCATTGAAGACAATTGGTGAACGGCTGCTCAAAATCGTGAATTAATTGAAGTTAGACATCAACACCGTTAGATGCCGGCCAGCTCAGTGGTCTATCGGATAAGGGCTCTTGCTCGAGACTGTTAGGTCCTAGGTTCAAGTCTCGAGAGTGCAGGATCATGGTTGCGCACTGTTGAGGTGTTCCATAATAGGACGAAACGGCCGTCCAGTGCTTCTAGGTTTTTCATGGTGATCTATCTTCAATTGACTCATGATTTCAACTAGGATCATAACAGTTAAGTTTTGATCAGTCACTGTCACTGCAGCTTTCACAGTTCAAAATAAACTGCCACTTTTATTGAAATGTCTTAATTAATTCTATCACATGATCAATATTTGTATCTATATGTATAATTTATAAACAATGTAACACCAGAATTTTCCCTAACAAGTGAATTATTAGCTCTGGGACAAAATAATAGCTTTTTTCATGCAGATACATTATTATCATAAGTCATTTAGTAATTTTAATCCCGACAATAATAAGGATAGGATTTATTGGATAAGTGTAGATTATTATGTATTTCAAAAACAGAAAAAGTATTAAAAGTGTGTTGTTTGCTTGTATCTTTCCATCGCGGATGGTACTGGGTTCGACTCCTAGAGTGAACGTCAACTCTGAGATGTAGGAACATCTAGCTGAAGAGTCCCAAATAGGACAAAGTGGCATGCATCCTGGATTACACTGCTAACCAGTATCCATCTTTGTTTGAAAAGTTTATGACTTAAGGCAATATCAAGGCAATCCGAACAGGATGCACATATGCGAACAAGAGACTGTTCAATTGAAGTCTTAAACAACAATGTGAACATACAAGCGAACAACATCAAATGAATTTAGAATAGGTATTAGTTATTACAATACAAAAATGTTAGCATCATATAATTTTTAGCTGTTAAAATGTTTGAATTTTCATTAATAATGGTTGGTTTTTATTTTTTCAAAATGTTATCCATGCCATTTTTAGTTTAGATCAGGAATTTTTGTAATTCATTCATCTTGGAAAATGAATAACTTCATCAAGGATCATTTAAGTGATTTGTGAAAAACACACACACACACACAAACAAGTACCCAATTGTACAATTTATCAATGACGATCAGGTAAAATAGAATCAAATCTAAAGGTTTTAATAGAAAACATAAAGAAAAATCATACTTCAAAATTGAAGTATGTTAATAATTACGTCATTTGATAGTTAACGTAAGAATATTAAACTAAACAGTTACGTCTATTATAATATTCTTACATGAGAGTAGAGTACTTCAATGTATATATATATCACAATGGTTAAACTTTGAATAATACTAGTATTAATAATAATATTATCATTAATGTTAACCCATTTGTAAAATGTTAGTAGCCTAGATTCTAAGTTTACTAGTAGTTAGGTGACGTCTGTGACGTTTGTCTAAGATAATCATTGATGTATACATATATAGTCTTTATTATAACTGGATACATTTAAAAGCATAATTCTTTTGTTTTAAATAATTAATGCTTATAGCCATCCATCGTTCTAGTATAATCTCTAGAAAAAACTGGATAGATAGTAAAATAACCAGACATTATTTAAGTAGTGTAAAGGATTAATAAAATGAGAATATATTTGAGTAGTATTTAAAAGAAGATTACTTTCCATATATTCAAAGTGATAGATTATAGATCAATGTAGATCAGTGTGTATTACCAACTGCTTAATCTATGATAAAATTGGTAGGAACGAAATGAACACAAGATGTCGGAACATATTCAAAGTATTTTTAATACTGAAAGGAATTAAACATTTCTTTTAAGTTTACAATAGCTTAGAACGTAGTGAGTTACTTATTATGATGAACCAATCAAAATATATGGACTAAAAAAATTTTGTTACCTTAGGTCTTTGTGGTTCAGCGGTTGAGTGTTCTTACATGAGACTAAGGTTCTTGAGTTCGATATCTAAAGGTGGAGTTATTACGGTTTATGGCCGAGGTGTTTCTTATGGAGACGAAGCATCTTTACAGTGTTTTTTAGTTTGATATGATCAGTGCGTGGTTTATACTATGTAACTTTGATAACATCCTAAGGGCCCAAATACTCATATGAATTTTTTATCAATTGTTATCTATTTTATAGACAAAATGTTGCATAGATCAAAATATCACATCATGTACAGGGAGTCAAACAAAGTCACCGGATAAACGAAAGCAAGAAAACTGCAATCTAGATCAACAACAACATAGTCAAATAATATCGAAAGGATTAGATTATCCCAACGATGATTCCCATCTAAAATCAGATAATCGAAAAAATGTATCATGGAAATTGAATATTGATAGTGATTATGAAGTGGATTCGTTAACATTAGCTCGTGATGGTGGCATACTGGATTGGGATGATCGTGTTGTTGATGTGTTAGATGATCGAGAACTGGTAAGTACTTCTTATTAGCTTCTTTTTTTCAATTATAATTTGGTTTTATATTTTATAGAGTATCCCATGGATTGCATAATGTACATACTTGTTTTGAATGTTATAGCACTCAAAATAAGGCTGTAAAGTATTGAAACAACGATTTTATTCTAGTGTATAACTAGCCAGAAGTGCTTACCAACAATCTCATTTAAGATAGCAGATTGATTAAAGTTTGAAGTTTCTACCAATTAATTCTCATTCGGCAGTTCAATTCGAAAATGAATTCTTTTAGTTTGATTACATGAGGAGTCAACGGTGTGAACTACAAAGGTGCTTCAAACTAAAACGAATCACTTGTCTAATACTACTGGACTTTTTATGTTTCTATAGACGTGGTTTGTTTGAATCTTCCCATCGATGTGTTGGGACTGCAACTGGTCAGTCTCTTATTGGTATATGTGGATACTGTGCGTATTGTCTCGATATGGCCTTAATTCACAAGCATTATGAGTAAAGATGGATAGTGGCTAGCAGTGGAATCCAGGACGCGCGTTTCGTGCTATTAATGGTTGCATAGTTACAATGCAACACATAACTAAGTCATTCGTAGCATGAAACTAAGTAATGGATTCATGGTAAATTATCTGTAATAAGTGGAAAGTATGAAATACGTCCATACATTCATTAGTGAATAAAATGAAGGTTTACAAATATGTTAACATAGAAAAGCACCATAAATGATTTACATAATAAGTCATTACTGGACAATCCTCATAATTCTACTTCGACCGTATATTCCTCCATATCTAACATGGTTGTTATTCACAATATTTCAAAATAATCAACTAAGAGATAGAAGTTTCTGTAACCTGTAGAAAAAAAGCAAAAGAGATTTAAAGAATTTCAACGTATAACATACTGTTACAGGTTCTGCTGATATCAATACTTGACCTTCATTTCGATAAATTAAATAGTCACACACTAGATCTTCAAACACAGTGCTATTGTTTAATCACATCAAATATGGTACTTCTGAATGTTAACTCCTCTGTTTTATGGATGTATCAAGTAATAATTTGGCAACATAAAAGTTATGAGTATGTACGTTTACTTTTCGTAGTTGATCCCTGGAAGCACTGGGCGGCCGTTTCATCCTATTGTGAGACTCCTCAGCAGTGCGCATCCATGATATATATATATATATATATATATATATATGTATATATATATAACCATAAGCATAATAACGAAGTAATGGAGTTCCATAAATTCAGAGGAAAGACAGTCAAAGCAATAACTCAAAGGTTTTGAGAAATATTTAATCGAATGAGATTTAATTTCTACTAATTTGTATTAGGCTAATAACCTAGTTTTCCCACATCTATGTGTATCTAAGAATGCAGTTGCTCCTGTGGAGAAAGATATAATGGACATATAATCAAATAACTCAGCTAACGAGTTAGTGAAAACCTTATTTCGTGTATAAAAAAGAGTATAATCGAAATAAAGAAGCAGTTCTGTTTCGTCAAACTTGATAGATAACATTCATGTAGTAGATACGAACGGGTCTTTTAAGGTGATTTGATGCATTCCTACTAGTTCTCCTCATGGGGTGTGATCTCATTTCTTACACATAGCATAAGCTTTAGAGATTAGAGCTAAAAATCCAACTCTTTGTATTCATAAAAACAATTTGTGACACTCTTATTTCTTCCTTAGCCGAATCAGATTTTATTTATTATTATTTTCTATACTCTTTGTCCGTTAATTTTTGTTCACCACGTTTTTCTCAAATATATACTTCTCTGTTCAATTATCTGAATACTTCTTATTACGTAATTTTTAATAAAAGTTATTTCAGTGTTATTACTGTGTGTTACCACTGACTGATTAACTACTTTGATTAGTTTAATAGTTTCATATATTGTAATGCCCCGATAACAATAGTGAATGGTAACTTTAGCATCCATTTATGGAATAGTATTATGCATATAATTTTCATCGTATAATTGCTAAATAATTAAACTACTCATATTCATATTCAATTCATTGTGAGCTTTATTTTGACCCTTGGACTATTATTGTACGATTTAACATTTCTGAGTTATACCTATTCTATTAATTACTATTCCCCCTATTCACAGTCACATTTGGCTAACTCTTGTATAAAAGTTATTTTCTATGTTATGGTACGATGTGATCGGTCTGTTTGATATATAAACTCAGTATGTTTGAAATACAATGATTCATACCACAGAGGCTGTTATTGGTGTTCTGAACTTAACTGGTTGGACTAGGCAGAAAGCAGGACTGATACGTACTCTAGACTGCTCGTATGGCTTTCGTGTATCACTGTTCCAATGGATAATTTGCTGCTCTCTGATTGGCGGTACATTAACAAGTCATCCACTCGGCCACAAGATATAACATATATGTATATAAAATATTATTGTAAATTAGAATAAAGTCAAATGATGATAATTTTGTTCAGTTATATGTGTTTGTTTTAATTCATAAAATAGGAATTTTTTAAGATTTCACTTACAACTGTGAAATGATCTAATAGTTACCATGGTATTATATTTTAATTACTTTTTAAAAAATTTAATTCATTTTTCATTTATATCATCATTATTGATTTTATATTGACGTAATCAATGCACATAATTAATATAAATTAAACTAGAACAACTTTACTTGTTAAATGTTACTTTTAATAACATTTTCAAACCCTAATCTTTCACATTAATGCTTGTACTGTTACTACTTTTAGCACCATGGGATTTGAATCGACAATTGCATCTCTGAGTTAACATGGTGTGACAACTCGAACTGATGTACGTACGTACGTACGAAGTTCTATGTGACTAAGTGACTGACTTATTTTCAATGGATTATATAGATTGTTAACGAAATATAGTTAAGAATTATCATTAAGAAAGTTATTATTATTTTTAAATCACTTTGTAATTGTTTATATTCTAAATCTAAGGAGCTGATGCTTAAAATTGTTACAAACTCAACAGTGTTTTGAAAGAAAATGTTATTATTTTCTGATTCATAATTTTTCGATCAACAAAATATTATGATAAGCAGAGATGGATGGTGTCTAGCCGTGGAATCCAGGACGCATGTTTCGTTTTATTTGAGACTTGTCAGCTGAGTGCATTTGAATCTCAAAGTTGATGTTCACTCTAGGACTTGATTACTGGATTCAACTGCTTGACACTATCCATCTTTGTTTATAATGCTCGTGATTTAAGACGATATCGAGACGATTCATACAGTATGCACATATACCATTAAGAAATTAATCAATTGCAGTCTTAAACATCAAAGAGAAGATTCCAACAACCGGTACAAAATGAATTAACAAAATGTCTTTTTATTATGGTTTTCCGTCACGCAATTAAACATTTATCACTCAAGTGGACTACATTACTCGCTAGTATTCGAAGTATAATTTTTCAGAATGGGTTTTTTGGATATTTCAGTATTTTTATAGTTGAAATCATGAGTCAATTAAAGATAGACCACCATGGAAAACTTGTAGGCACTAGAAGGCCGTTTCGTCTTATTATGGGACTCCTCAGCAGTGCGCATTCACGATCCCGCACCACGATATTCGAACCCAGGACCTACCAGTCTCGCGCCAGAGCGCTTAACTCAGTGGTCTATCGGTTAAGTGCTCTGATGCGAGACTGGTAGGTCTTGGTTTCGAATCTCGCGAGTGCGGGATCGTGGATGCGCACTGTTGAGGAGTCGTATAATTTTCCATTTATAAAATTCCACATTTTTCATCTGAAACCTGATTTTTGGTGATTTCATTCTTATAGTGCCAAAATTCTGAATTATGTTTATTCAGTCTGTTAGTCTCTATTAATCAAAACATTTTATAATACTTTCACTTTTCACCCTTAAAAATGAGTAGTATATTAATTTCTGTTGTTTTTTGTTATTTAAAAAAATATGTCAATTCAGAGAAGATATTAACAAAATATTTTTACTAATGATTGAAGGATGGATAATATCCTTCGTGAAAAGTAACCTATTGTAAGGTAGTGTATGTATACAAATAACTAAATGATATTTTGATACTGTTGGGTACTCTGAGTTAGATTATTTAATTGTATAGTTGTCATTGTCATTATGGACAACAGTTTCATAAAAAAATTGAGCGTCTCACTTATTCTGCGAGGCTCAAACAAGTTTGTCCTACTGGACTTGTTTTTGACTGATTGTTTTTGTAGATTTCATTTGTTCTTGTGCTCCTGTTGATTATCTTGTTCCGTTTATCTCCAATCATCTTCGTGAATGATCTTTTACATATGTTCAAAGTTCTCTAAGTGTACTGAAATCAGTGACAGCATGTTACAATGTTGCACTGTCAGTCTATGTTTGTGTATGCGAAGATGAAAGTGGAGTCGACTTTGTCCACCGTACTGTACATCACAGTCGGTACAATTTATTTTAAAGATGATAATGAATTTATCTACATTCGTTATTATATCTTTAGATTAGTGTGAAGTTAAGTGATGAGATTTACTTGTTTTAGGAGAGATTTTTGACTACAAAAGGCTTCAAAATCCATTTGATGATTTCTGAAATGGTTTCCATATCAGTTCTCTAGCTTCGAACTTCCCCTGAACCTCTTGATGGAGTTGTTTGGGAAGCCATTTTTATGAAAGATAGATAGGACTCAAATTTATTCAGTTTTTTTCGCTCACTGAAAGTGCTGAAATTCGTTTTCATCATTTGCATAAAGAATTTAAGACTGTGTTATATCTTATGGCCGAGTGAATGCCCAATTAACGTATGACTTGATAAAACCACGAATCAGAGAGCAGCAAATTATCCATTGGAACAGTGATACACGAAAGCCATACGAGCAGTCTAGAGTACGTATCGGTACTGCTTTCTGCCTAGTCCAACCAGTTAAGTTCAGAACACAAATAACAGCCTCTGTGGTATGAATCATTGTATTTCAAAATACTGAGTTTATATATCAAACAGACTGA